GTGGGGAGGCTAGGTAGAACCAGAACTAGATTGGATCACACTTTAACCAATCACCGTAAGGACCATTAATATTCACAACCCGTAGTTCAGTACACATATGTTAGCGAATAATCCCAGATAGAGAGAATAATACTTGATATATATATTTCATCCTTAGACAAACAAGACACAGTGAGCTTGTGTCTGTGTATCCACCTGAATAGAATAAAAAACCCATTAACATACAATGTAGATTTATCTATACTGTCCACATGACAGGTCTATACATCATTGATTTCGGTCTCTCTAGATACTAGCGATTCTGAGTCAGTTAGCTCCCGACCAAACTTAGAATTATCGGTTTGCTTGTTTGATGTGCGTGTGGCAGAGTACTTATAGCCAGCCCTTTCAACCTTTGATACAACGACGTATATACTATATGTAGTAAAAGGTTGCCAGTATGGGCACCGTCTGGAGAGCAACATGCCATAACAGTTTGCTCATGATTGCGGTTATCATCCACATATAATCACCGATCTTTGATTACCAGGTAATTCTTTGATTTAATTTTAACCTGCCGTGGCACACCTGTGTTGTCGATGCTTGTCTCAAACTGCCAAGAAGTCTCTCACTGAGACGCCCCTCGTAAGCTGTAATCAGTCATGCTCTGCTGTTTTTTTCCCCACATTTCTCATGTAACCCTCTTCCTCAATTTCTCTCCAGATTCTTCAGGTCCACCCCGCAGCCTCATCCTTCCTCTTAAACGGTCCCTAACACGGTGGTACCTGAAAGGGGTAGCAAGCAGAAGATGAGGCTGGACATGAAGACGAAGAGGCCGATGCCAGCACCAATGACATACACATTGGAGTGGGGAGGCTGATAGAGGTGTCAGCACGTCTATGGCTGCAGTAGTGTTCAGAGCGCTGAAGACCCAAGACCACCAACCACCATCCTGGCCAGAAAGAGTTGCAGATACCAGAATATGATGACTTTAACACGCGAGTGTGTTAACGTTACATAGGCCAGGGTTAAAGAGTCCAGACATTAACAGTTTAACTAATCTTCTTCCTCATAGATTTCTTAACGTAAATGAGTACTCTTTGAGTCCATTTTGGTGGGGGCTATCATCGAAGTTTAACCCCCCCAGAACCTTTTTATTTATCAGGTCTCTGTATTTTAAGTCTTGTTTCACAGGCCTCAGCTCTGTTAAACTGCATTTTCGCTTCTTTAAAATAGCGCTGCTGCTGAAAAAAGCCATAATCCCGAGTCTTGCAACTTCATTGTTTACTTCCCATTATGAAACGCCAAAGCTGCCCCCAAAGAGTCTACAGTGATGCAGTCTAAATCTGGTAGGAGGAACTTTAAATGCTGGGCCATTTGTAGAGACAGGTGTTCTGACAAAGCAGTTCAACTGCTCAAGGAATCTGTGAAAATCCTTTTTCCTTTGTCAAAGAAAACGTTAGGCTATGCCTTATTATTTTCAAGTAGTGAAAAGCTGCATCTAAAAGCCACAGTGAATGAGAAAGAGGAATCCCCCATGGCAAGAGAGGTTGTTGATCATATAAGCTACGAAATGAATCTACGGCACCGACCACCAGGCTTCTAGTGCCAACCAGTAATCTTGGCTGCCAAGCAACACAAAACCCTGACCCATAATGCTTGCTTGACAATGAGTGTGTGACGCTCTTGGCTCCATCTTCCCGCCAGACGCATCAAGAATTTTTACTGACAGTAAAAATATTTGTGAGGAGGAGTTCAGCCCCGTAATACGTTGGTTGTTTGTGTTGGCTGCAGGTGTTGTTGAGGAGCCTGCGACTGCAGCTGTGGTGGCAACTGAGGCGCTCACCCAGGACTGTTGCGTTAATTGGCTGGTGAAGCAACGAACACAACATTGGAGGACCAGGACAGCACTTCCGCCCACCACCCATCCCTGTTCCACAGACTCCTATAGAGGTGCTGGTGGAGTGTGTGTGTGTGTCGTGGTGTGTGCTGTGTGTGCTGACAGCACTGGGGACCTGGAAGGGTGGGGGTGTCTGCTGCGCGTAAATTTGTAAGACCAGGCAGTGTGTGTGTGCAGGTGCAGGGGGGTGGGGTATATTAAATAGGATGAAGCTCTGGGGACTAAAGGCCATTTGGTAAAAACCAATAGGGCAGGAGGAAGCCCCACTTCGCATAGCCGCACCATGTGTTCCTATTAATTTGGCAGCGGGGAATGCTCTTTGGCCCCAGTCCATGTGTCTCTCTTTAGGAGTGATGAAATGGGTACAGCTTGCACCTGTGCGGGGGTATGCGTGGATAATTTGCCATGGCTGGGGGTTGGGGATTTACAACGGGAGGTTAGTGTAGGGAAGACGCTAGGGTTAGCGGCATAATGAGAGATGCAATATGAACCAGGCATGGATGCCGCTGGCAGAGAATGCGAATCAACATGTAAACCAAAAGAGAATATTGAAACAAGGGCTAGAATATCTTCGAGTTCTTAGTTGTCATAGTTGTCAAACAAACCATGACCGTTGAATTCGTGGCTTATTGTAACGTGAACGCTTCCACTGTCCTCAGTAATTTACCGTTTCACAAGTGACATCCCATTATGTGGGATTCCCATAAGTCTTGCAAGGCCAGCAACCTTAGTACCTGAGTTTATGAGAATATCAAGTAACATACACGTGCTACTATCGCTCTTGTGTATTTTGGCGAGACGGGCCAGAAAAAGATCCCACTTACCGTACACCATTGGAAATGGTTGCATGAAATTTGACTCCAGGCAGCAGCAGTATATTCAGGCCCCTTTCAGCGAGAAGGCTTGGAGCTGCCAGACCCCTGGATCTGTTTGGAGCCTGGATTCGCAGTCACCCCGAGCTGGATCCGCCTCCTCTGTTGGCCTTGTGTCAGCTCCATCGCAAAAACAACCATACAAAGCATTTTCAGATTTACTCCCCAGATTCCACAATCCTCTTGAGGTGCAGTTTCCGTTGGCCTCAGCAGTCCCCGTCGCTGCCAGCAATTCCAATCTGGATTAACCACTCCCTGCTAACAGATTGGGGGAGATTTTGGGAGCTGGGCGGTTTGGACGGCGACGAAGACCTCATGTGCCTCCTGGAATCCCAGTCGGGAGAGATGACTGTCATCAACAAGACGCAGAGAAGAAGCAGACAAAGAAAGCATGGTTGAGGAAGACATGATGTTTTTCAGATGCCTCGATACGTGTCTTATTCAGAGTTGTTATTGTGAGAAAGCTGAATTCTCGTTCCAGGTCCACAATGCTCGATTAAAACAACACAGGCCTGCTTGGCAACAGGACATACTTAGCCATGTTTCCAAACAGAGAAGGCCCTCTTTTGACTTCAACTTTGGGCGTCTGCGGTGTCGTCGCCCGTCCAGAAACCAAATACCCCCCCCTCTGCCAGCATGAACAGCCGCGCTTCAAAATGACAGTCCTTCCGGCCAGCTGACGGTAATTATCGTGCGCATTAGTCTGTGCTTTGCTCTCCCATCCCAAAGCCTGCTTTTCGTTAACCAGAGGGATTCTTCACAAGTCTCAACCCCCCTCTCCTCTCCCTCTTGTTGCCTCCCTCCCCGAGTCCTCTGATCTTGCAAGTGCGCGTACTCCTCCGTCATATAGAAGGCAAAAGGCATGTGCTTCCCTGTAAAGCCCAAGCCAAAGTGAGCGAGCAGGCTCCATGCAGTCAACAACCAGTCCCTCTACGGCTTGGGTTTGGTATTTTGCTGGGTGTGTGTGTGTTGTGTGTGCTCAGGTCAGTGCCAGTGTGCAGTGTGTGTGAGTTGCTGGTGTTGGAGTGTGTGTGTGAGTGTCGTGTGTGTGTGTGTGTGTGTGGGGGGGGGGATCCTACTCTCCCTCTAACCATCTGCTCCTTTAATTGAGAAAAAAAAATCTGAGACAAAGGCGGTGTGTGTGTACGAGTGTGTCTGCGTGTGTCGTATTTAGTCTCTCCCACCTCCAGCTGGCTTTGTCATGGCAGGCTTCCCCTCTTCCTCTTTCAGTCCTTAATGGTGCTCAGAGAGCGCCTGCAATTCGCCTTTACTTTCCTCCCCTTGCTCCTGCTCTGCTCTGCCTTGGGTTTGTAAACAGATCTGTGCTCATGTGACCAGCCGTTTTGCCTCGCAACTCTCCTCTCCCTCAGCCCTCCCTCACTGCCTCTGTCCTCCAATCTGTAGGCAGAAGGAAGGCAGAATGAGCCAGACACTGACGAATGGGGCGCCTGCAAGCATGCTGATGTGTGTGTGTCTGTATGCGCACACCCCTGTGCATGTATATGTGAGGGGGAGACAAGAGAGACATTTGCAGCAAAGTCAAGGGAGGCCTTGGTCAGTAGCATGCGCATGGCTGATGTCCTGACAACCAAAACAAAGCCGTTTGTGTGAAGTGGAGGTCAGCAAAAGAAGAGATGATGCGACCTCAGTCACCATTTCCTTCCTTCGCACATACACAGATTGTATTTTTAGAGCTACAGCAGATTCTTTTTCATGTTTGGTTTGTTTGATCTATATATAAACACCATGTCACTCTTTTGCAGAGGAAGAAGGAGGCAGGTAGAGGAGGGGAGGAGGTGCCTCTGTCGATAGAGGGAACAAAGGGGAGCAAGATGTGAAAGAAAAATAAAAACCAACTGAAAAAGAGGGAGACACAGAGGGAAAAATCACGGGCTGGACAAAGACGATGTCCACCCCCACACTAGCGGCCCTTGCTGCCAATTCGCTGAAGGAGAGAACAGCTGCTGGGCTACTGGGCGAGCTGTGAGATGGTCAAGGGGAGTGCTGCTCCACCAATCCCCAGGGGGAGAGGCTTCAATGGGACCCATGCCATGTTCATTCACTCTCCCCTCCCTCCTCTCCTCCTGCTCTAGTAATGACATTACTGCTGAACACTGAGGAACAGCTGGATTGACCGCACAAATGCATGAGCATAAATCCCTAATACAATGCATGTATTGTTGGGCGTTTACAGGTTTTAGAGTCAAAGATGTTTGTAGTTAAAGGGTTGTGCTGTCATTGCTGGCGTGTGAAGGATGGTGGTTTTGGTGACAGCATGTCCTCTTGTAAGTTATGGTGAAAACACCATTGTATCAACAGCCTTCTGAAGATAAACAGTAAATTAAAATGATCACATTATATACATATTCGGCTGTCGTGAAATTGCTGTTAAAGGCTTTTTGAAAAAAATGTCTAAATGTTTCAGAAAAACAGGATTTTACCATGGAGGGACCAATGAAACTGAGAACCATGCAAGAAGTTGAGGGAGCGAGAGAAATGCAAATGTTGACCTTGTTCTCCTAGTGACATGTAAATAGTTTTGACTGTCACAACCTTTTGTTTTTGCATAAATCATGGGTTTGCCTGATTAGACAGAAGCATTGTAGGGCTATCTACTCAAAACAAGGTTTAAGGCCCGAAATGTGTTTGTACAGCATAATAAACTAACATTATACAACTGTTCTAAGGGAAAAGTTGTAATTTTCAAATGGACAAGTTGATTCTGAGGCTGATGAACTCTTGTATGTGGGCCAGTACAGATAAAGTATTTGTCTGAAGTTCACCAAACTGTTAAGCTTGAATGTGGCATTACAGCAACTCTATTGCTAAATATGGACCAGTGTGGCCACGAATGGCAGTTGCAGGATAATGGTGAATGCTACAATGTAGTGTAACAGTAGCATAAGTATAGAACAGAAAGTCGTAAAACTGACAAATATCAGCTACACAGCAATATCTAGCTTAAGTTAGCTAACATCAACCAACATTAGCCACCATAAGCTCCGAGTCATACTGTACTGAGTAAGGCTTAACAGCAAAACCTATGAGTGCATTGACTTTTATTACTTTTCAACTTTTCATTTTTGGGAGAAAGACGGTGTTATTTCTTCTTTCCAAAGTTACATAGTCTTACTTTAAAGGACCAGTGTGTAGGATTTAGTGGCAGTAGTGTAGATGCAGAATACAACCACCTTGCCTCGCCCTCCCGTTCCAAATGTGTAGGAGAAACTACGGTGGCCCTGAAACTAGCAAAAAAAACTTGAGAGGCCCTCTCTAGATCCAGTTTCTAGATCTGTACAAACATGGTGGCGGACCCGCTACCTCTCTTGATAAAAACAGCTTATTCTAAGTTTAAAACACGATTCTTATTTTCAAGTGATTATAAACTAATGATTACAATAATTCTGCCAATAGAGCCTTCTAAATGCTACACACACCTTTACAGCAAGGAGAAACAGGGCCTTGAAGTGCATACAGCTTTTTTCTTTTTTTTCTGTCAACAGTATATTTTTTTCGCCCTGGGAATATGTATGGTGGCCCCACAGTTGAGAGCAACACAAGTATTCATAAGTGTCTTTATCAATGAGAACTCTCCAGAGTGCTATAATAGCTGCTGTAGATAAAACACAGTTGTGACAACAGTAAAAACAACACAATTACACCCAGTACTAAACAACTGAGCTGTATGTGACCCAGAAATGTCTATTTTCTTCCATTTTGTATATATTGAACCAAACTATACGGTATATTGCACTAAATTAATTTTATATTAATTTTATGTTCAGTGAATTAATAATTAAATTCTACTAGATCACAATATTATTTATAACTAACTTTGACAAATTACTATGTGTAAATGTTTCTCTGCGTATATATAAACCGAAATATTCTCTCTCTGAAACAATACACTTGTCTGAAAGTTAAGGAAGAGCCAGTTCAAGCTTTTCTTTGTCCTCTTGAGCTCTTCAGACCTTACTATAGTACACTGCCCATTCTTTTTTCTCCACGTTATGGGTGTGTCCCTTTACAAACCCATTTGCTGCTCCATTTGCCTCTCCATTCAGTCTGCCATTGTTTTCACCATCTATTTGGTCCTTTCTCAAAGCCAGAGCTGGCTTACAGGAATGCCAGTTCCATAAAACTTTATTCATATCATCCTGGGCCCTAATACCCAGAAGCTTTTCTTCGTCACTTTTCTTCTTATCTTCGTCTTCATCGTCGCTTTCGTCCTTGCTGGAGCGGTGGCGGTGGAAGTTGTGCATCTCCCCACTGATGTTCTCAAAGTATTGGTGGATGCAAACCTTGGCAAAACTCTTGGCATGCTCCTTACAGGTCTCATCGAACATCTTGCGCTCAATGTCAATGTAATGAGACCAGTACTTGGTCTTGAGGAAGGCAGCTTGGGTAAAGCATGGTCGAATAGCTCGGATCAGGAAGGCGGTGAAAGTCATCATGAGCAAAAACATCCATCCACATGCCTGGAAAATATAGACATTATTAGATATTCTGATGTAGCAAAATGACCACCATTCTGAGCACATTAGAAATTATTACTACAGTATATGAACAAAATGTAGATAAATGGACTTTGGTTGAGAATATTTACTTTACAATCTGTCTGACCAACACTTATAACCATGTTTTCTGTTCTTGCAGATATGGAAGATAGTGGAAGTCAGATAGCCCAAGATGGGATTGAAAAAGTATATAGTAACTTTCTGACCCATTAACAGAATCTGTATATCAATAGACTTTTTAGAGACATGTTACTTTTAAGCCTGTATAATTGCCCTTCGGCTGATCAAAGACCTAAATAACAGTGTGGGCGTTTTTGGATGGATTGAAATAGGTCCCAGTTCCATGAATAATAAATTTAGAGGCTTATCTATCCCTCTAATAAGTGAACAGGAAAGTGTTAGTGAGCTCAAAGTGCAAAGCCTGAGTCGGGTGGGAGGAGATTTAAGTTAACTAAAGTTTTTAAGGAATAAAGCAAGGACATTAAAATTTGCTTAGTTATCATATGCTGTGATGAAGTTGAAAACTGCTCTCTGAAAGTGTCCCAACTTTTGGCCACACACTGTGTATTTAATCTGACTATCAAAAATAAAAACATTTCTTTTCTATTGACTTTTTTCACAGCAGGGTAGTGCTCCGTTCAATTCAGGTCAAACAGAGTCACGGTGCTGCTATTGTGCATGTTGGCTCACTGGAAAGGCTCTACACTATATGAAATGGAAAACCTTATCATTGGTAACCTGTGATTACCTTACTATTTCATGTCAAAATGGCTGCCGTAAAAAGGTCTTTAACAAGATCCTGAAACTGAGAAAAAGGTCTATGGTAGCCTGATCACAATACGTTTACCTACATCAAGTGCTGTTATTCCTATAACAAAAACAGTCTAGCCATGTTGTCAGCCATGCTGAGAACCAGATGTCTAATTAACCATGCTACCTTTTATAGCCAACAGCAGTTGCCACTTCTATTCAGATTTGTTTTTCACATTTTGGAGTTCCTCATGTGTTATTCAAATGTGGCATTTAACTGACATTCTTTGAAAATTTCTCATGGGTCTCCAGGTCGGTGTCTGTCAAAAGGTTGTCAGCTAATGGCCCTTCTGTTTAAAACCATTCATAGGAAAGTGGAGAAAAAAATCACCAGGCTACCTGTGATATACACTTGATGTATCGTGATGCTGCCACTCTTATTTCCCGATGCTCAAAAAGGTCTTCGCATGGAATCCTTGCCAGCAGTTTTATCTTCTCTGTCTCCGGCATATCCTTCACAAAACTGTAGTTCCCAAAACTGTAGTTCCCAAAACTGAAGTTCCCAAACTTGTCAATATCCAAGTTGACGCTGAAAGCACAGAGGAAGCTCTTCCCATCCATGAGAGTGACAGACACCCATACTGCAGGTGCTATCAGGGATCTCTGTGTGATTGAACAAAACATGTAGCGAAGGATTGTTGGATCCTTCCTCCGTTTCCCTGTGGGTCTTTTCCACTCCTCTGCAAGCACCGACACATTATTGTTCAACACAAAACCTAACAGAAAGAACCATATAGGTGGAATGATAAGCAGTCCGATCCCATAGGTGTAGTTGTATTCTGGCATACAGGGGCAGCTGAACTCAAAGGCAGAGTACATCTGTGCACTAGCTAGTGCCATGATACCACATATCCCGTTCATAAAAGATTCCTGGTTGGATTGGAGGAACTGGAACATCATACGAAACTTATCCATGTTGGAAGATGTGGTGGATCTCAAGTTCAGATGGAACTAAATCTGTGAAAAGAAGTACAGGAAGTCTGAAGTTAATCAGTGAAAAAGTGTTAGAAAAGGCACCACAGCACGCTACTTTTTTTTGGCATTATGGTTCACATTTGTTATATACAGATAATAATACAATGTTAGACATATTGATTAGAAATTAACATCACGCACACACTTACCTGTTTTCTCAAGAGTGGGTGAACAAAAGGAAAGAAAAAATTCATATAACAACAACGTCAATAGTAAATAACTTGTAATCCTTTATGTAGTTATCAGACATTGTAGCTCTGACCGACTGAAAGGTGTTTCTCGAACTCTCAGTTGTGATGTTCAGACCTGACCACATCATCTGTCATCATGCCCCTCCCTTCACAGGTGTTTAGTGTGACGTAACAAAAGGTTCTCGTTCAACCCACAGTTTCTCACAAGTAAACATGTTACAGTGCACAGAAAACACATCCAATTCAGCCCTTTACAATTCACATCAATGTTTTTTC